CCCCTTCTCCCCCCTTCTCCCCTTCTCCCCTTCTCTCGTTTTTCCCTTCCCTTTTTTCCTGCCCCTCTCCCTTTCTCCCCTTCCCTTCTCCTCTTCTCCACTTCTTCTCATGCCTTCCTCCCTTCCCTTCTTCCGTTCTCCCCTTTTTTCTTCCCTTCCCTTCTTTTCCCCTTCCTTTTCCCTTCTCTTCCTCCCTTTTCTTCCTCCCTTCCCCCCTTTTTCCCTTCGTTTTCCCCCTTGAACCCAGCAGATGGAGGTGACAGTTAGCTGAGATCACTCCCTCTCTCCTTCCTTTACAACAGCCTGGGAGACAAGAGCAAAACTGGAAAGGAAAGAGGGAGGGAGTGAGCAAAACGAAGAAGAGGAAGGGAAGGAAAAGGGAAAGGAAGAACCTCTTTGGTTCCAGTTGTTCTGTAGCCTCAGCCTCCCAAGTAGCTGGAACTGCAGGTACCTGCCCCTACGCCCAGCTCATTTTTTTTTTATTTTTAGTGGAGACAGGGTTTCACCATGTTGGCCAGCTGGTTTCAAACTCCTGACCTCAGGATCCAGCCACCTCGGCCTCCTGAAGTGCTAGGATTACAGGCATGAGGCACTGTTCCCGGCCAACATCTGTAAGGCTTTTCATGCAGGGACTTCTGAGAAGCATCAGGCAGGGCAGTTGTCTGTGGAGTACGATTACCCTGAGCTCAGCAGTCCCTCAGTCCCCAACATCGATTGCTGGGGCAACCAAAATTGCCACCATTTGTCCCCAGCCCTCTCTAGAGAACAGTACTGTCCATTAAGAACCAGTACCTAGGGCCACCTTCTCATGCTGTATATGGGAAACTGAGGATCAGAGCGGTTGAGGGACTAGCCTGGACCTGGAGTAAATGGCAGAGTCAGTTACCTGTGGCTCCTGCCAGGCGAGTTGCTCCGCTGTGCTGACCTCGCTCCTCCCCATGCAGCGCCTCAGTGTGCAGGACGTCATCTACGTGCGAGGCTGCACCAATGCCGTGCTCATCTGGTTCATGGACAACTACACCATCATGGCGGGCATCCTCCTGGGCATCCTGCTTCCCCAGGTGGGCAGACCATGGGTTCAGAGACAGTGTGACTGGGTGATTGCAGAAGGGCAGAGAAGGTGCAGAGGGGGAGGTGAAGAAGCTGTTTTCATAGAGTCCGGGGCTTGCCCGGAGTGGAGGGGGCTGCATGTCTGGAAGAAGGGGGTGAATGGCAATAGCAGTGGTGGCGAAGCTTTTCCGAGTGCTGCGGAGGCACGGCTGCTCCACTTCTCCCTGTGAGGGAGGCACTGTTATAATGCCCACTTCACAGAGGAGGAAACTGAGGATCGGCAAGCTTCAGTGACTTGCCAGGATCCCCTAGATAGTCTGGCAGAGCTGGGGTGGAGACAGGAATACCAGGGGGGAGGGCCTCTTGCTGATGAGCACAGCAGGGCTCTCTGGGATTTCCTGGGAAGGGGAGAGGGGGCCCACGTGGGGGCTTCTTGGGCAGTGTGGGTGCTGGAAGTTTCTGCTGTGGGTGTTGCCCAGGTCACACAGAGCCCTGAGGGCTTGGGACTGGCTGCTTGTGTTTCTGCGAGCCGGGAGCTGTAGGGAGGCCCTCACCAGCTCTGTCCTTTCTTCTCAGTTCCTGGGGGTGCTGCTGACGCTGCTGTACATCACCCGGGTGGAGGACATCATCAGGGAGCACTCCGTCACTGATGGGCTCCTGGGGCCAGGTGCCAAGTCCGGTGTGGAGGTGGCGGGCACGGGCTGCTGCTTGTGCTACCCCAATTAGGACCCAACCTGGGATGGCAGCTCCAGCAAGGACTCCCGTCTGGGACAGCACCTCTCACTCAGTCCACGTCATGGGGCTGGACAGGGCTGCGGGCCCTCTGCCCACACTCAGGACTGACCACAGCCAGGGCTCTTAGTGTGTGTGTTTTTGTGTGTGGGGGGGGTCCCACAGCCGTGGCTGCCTCCCCAGGGAGCGGAGCCTGGGCCTCCCTTTAAAGACTTACCCAAGGCGGCTCCGGAATCTGTGCCCACCTGCGGCCTGGGGAATGAGGCCCTCTTCTTCCGGCCTGGACTGCGGGGGAGGGGAGCCTGGGGCCCCGCTGGGGCCCATTTCATCTCTGGCAGTGCCTTGGCCTGAGGTATTCAAGGCAGTTTTGTAGCACTTGTAACCCTGGAGAGGGGAGGGGAAGGTGCCCCTGGGGCGGGAGGGAAGGGCTGTTCCCGCCGCCACGCCCATGGCCAGCCTGGCCTCTTCTCAGCCTCCCAGGTGCCTTGAGCCCTCTTTTTTGCAAGGGCAGCTGCTTCCTTGATCCTAGTTTTTTACGTGATTTTTGTAACATTCATTTTTTTTGTACAGATAACAGAAGTTTCTGACTAATCAAAGCTGGTATTTGCCCTCATGTCTTATTCTTGCCCTCCCCCCAACCAGTTTATTAATCAATAAAAATGCGATTTTTTTTCTTTCCTGTGTGCTGTTTTGTTGGGGCGGGGGTAAGGAAGGTCGCAGCCTGGACTTGGAAACCCTCTGTGGACGCGAGGATGAAAGGGGTTTATGGGGTGAAGATCTGGGTAGCTAGGGCCACCGGCCGGGGGAAAGCCTCAGGTCCAGAGGTGACCACGCCTATCTTACGGACAACCAAGGGAAACAGGCTGGGCTAGATACAGCAGGAGGCTCCACCTCCCGGAAGCGGGGCGGACGGCGGACCTGGGAAACGGAGCTGGGGAAGCAGCGCGCCCACAGGTTCACCTACAGCGCTCCCTGCATCCCTCAGTGTGCCCAAGAGCTACTGCGCACCTGCACAGCGCGGTGTCGGTCGCCCCCTGCTGGAGACGCCGGGACCTTGCGAGGATCAGTCCACCCAACCTTCAGGCCCCAAGACATGGGATCTAGGTTTTCTATGAGGCTGTTAGTAGCCAGGACACTAGAAGTAAAGCAGCAAGAGCCCCAGACCTGAAGAACTGACAGCGAGAACCGTCCATACACCCAGAAGTTAAGTGGTCAGATGCCTGGTCTGCCATGTGTACCAACCCCACGTATAAGAAGGGGCAGGAGGAGGATTTTTCAAAGTACACAATAACACAACAACAAAAAATCTGCCATAGAGCATAGCTTGCCAGGAACTTGTCTAGACACTTATAGATACTAACTCCTTTAATCCTCACAACTAGGGTAATTCTTATCTCCATTTTATTAGTGGGGAAATCGAGGCACAGGGCAGTTAAGTAACTTGCCCAGGTAGGCAGCTGGTAAGTGACAAAGCTGTGACTTGAGGCCAGGTAGGATCCCTCGAGCCACTCAGCCCCTCTGCTCTACTGCCTCTGTCACCTCCTGTGTACACACAGTACCAGGTGTCTGAAACCAGTGGAGGCTGCAGCTGCTTCTGAAGCCCTGTCCTGGGGATATTCGCTGTAGCCACTGCTGGAGGTGATATTACTCGAGACATCACAGGGGATGTTACCTGAGCTTCCACTAAGAGGATTCCCCGAGGCAGCTCCAGAATCTCTGTCCACCTGGGGCCTGGGGAACAAGACACTCCCTTCTCCAGGCCTGGGCTGGGGTTGCGGGGAGAGCCTGGGGCTCTGCTCAGGGTCCAATTCATCTCAGCAGTACCTTGGCTGGTGTTATTCAAGGAAATTTTGTAGCACTTGTAATCAGGGAGAGGGGATAGGGGAGAGGGAGTGTGCCCCTCGGAGTAGGAGGGAAGGGCAGCAGGGGAAGGACAGGAGGCTGGAGCCCCGGTCTTGTCTCACTTTGACCTAATGGACACAAGGCGAGGTCAAGCTCTATCTGGCTGGAGGCCTTATAGCCCTGGGGCTCTGGCTGTTCTGAGAACCTCTTTTGTGCTCAGAGGGGAGATGGCAGCTGCCTTTGGGGGGCAGCAGGATGGCAGAGGCACCATGGGAGACGGGCTGCTCTGAATCACTTATCCAAAGTCACGTTACCTGGAAGCAGGAACCCAGACCCCTCATCTTCCCTCTTTGCAGCACCACTCACAGACACCCCTCTACCGCACACTGCAGCCCTGGCCAGCTGCTTCAGTGGACCAGCGCTGGGGCCACATACGGCTGAGCTCCAACAGACACTCACCTCTCAAGAAATGGAAGCACAAATGTCTTCTTTTTTTGAGAAGTGTCTGTTCATTTCCTTTGCCCACTTTTTGATGTATTTTCCTCTTGTAAATTTGTTTAAGTTCCTTGTAGATTCTGGATATTAGCCCTTTGTAATATCCAGATGGATAGACTGCAAAAATTTTCTCCCATTCTGTAGGCTGCCTGTTCACTCTAATAGTTTCTTTTGCTGTGCAGAAGCTCTTTGGTTTAATTAGTTCCCATTTATCAATTTTGATTTTTGTTGCCATTGCTTTTGATGTTTTAGTCATGAAGTCTTTGCCCATGCCTTTGTCCTGAATGGTACTGCCTAGGTTTTCTTCTAGTAGGGGTTTTATGGTTTTAGGTCTTAATGTTTAAGTCTTTAATCCATCTTGAGTTATTTTTTGTGTAAGGTGTAAAGAAGGGGTCCAGTTTCAGTTTCCTGCCGTATGGCTAGCCAGTTTTCCCAACACCATTTACTAAATAGGGAATCCTTTCCCCATTGCTTGTTTTTGTCAGGTTTGTCAAATATCTGATGGTTGTAGATGTGTGGCATTAATTCTGTGGCTTCTGTTCTGTTCCATTGGTCTATATATCTGTTTTGGTACCAGTACCATGCTGTTTTGATTACTGTAGGCTTGTAGTGTAGTTTGAAGTCAGGTAGCATGATGCCACCAGCTTTGTTATTTTTGCTTAAGATTGTCTTGGCTATGTGGGCTCTTCTTTGGTTCCATATGAAATTTAAAGTAGTTTTTTCTAATTCTGTGAAGGAAGTCAATGGTAGCTTGATGGGGATAGCATTGAATCTATAAATTACTTTGTGCAGTATGGATATTTTCATGATATTCATTCTTCCTATCCATGAACATGGAAAGTTTTTCCATTTGTTTGTGTCCTCTTTTCTTTTTTCTTTTTTTGAGACGGAGTTTCGCTCGTTACCCAGGCTGGAGTGCAATGGCGCGATCTCGGCTCACCACAACCTCCGCCTCCTGGGTTCAAGCAATTCTCCTGCCTCAGCCTCCTGAGTAGCTGGGATTACAGGCACGCGCCACCATGCCCAGCTGTTTTGTATTTTTAGTAGAGACAGGGTTTCACCATGTTGACCAGGATGGTCTCGATCTCTTGACCTCGTGATCCACCTGCCTCGGCCTCCCAAAGTGCTGGGATTACAGGCTTGAGCCACCGCGCCCGGCCCCCTCTCTTATTTTCTTGAGCAGTAGTTTGTAGTTCTCTTTGAAGAGGTCCTTTACATCCCTTGTACAGTAAGTTGTATTCCTAGGTTTTATTCTTTTGTAGCAATTGTGAATGGAAGTTCACTCATGATTTGACTCTCTCTCTGTTATTGGTATATAGGAACGCTTGTTATTTTTGCACATTGATTTTGTATCCTGAGACTTTGCTGAAGTTCCTTATCAGCTTAAGGAGATTTTGGACTGAGACAGTGGGGTTTTCTAAATATACAATCATGTAATAGAAGTGGTGAGAGAGGGCATTCTTGCCTTGTGCCAGTTTTGAAAGGGAATGCTTCCAGCTTTTGCCCATTCAGTATGATATTGGCTGTGGGTTTAATAAGAAACAGCTCTTATTATTTAGAGATACATTCCATCAATACCTAGTTTATTCAGAGTTTTTACCATGAAGGAGTGTTGAAATTTATTGAAGGCCTTTTCTACATCTATTGAGATAATCATGTGGTTTTTGTCATTGGTTCTGTTTATATGATGGATTATGTTTATTGATTTGCATATGTCGAACCAGCCTTGCATCCCAGGGATGAAGACAACTTGATTGTGGTGGATAAGCTTTTTGACATGCTGCTGGATTCGGTTTGCCAGTATTTTATTGAGGATTTTCACATCGATGTTCATCAAGGATATTGGCTTGAAATATTATTTTTTTATTGTGTCTCTGCCAGGTTTTGGTATCAGGAGGATGCTGACCTCATAAAATGAGTTAGGGAGGAGTCCCTTCTATTGTTTGGAATAGTTCCAGAGGGAATGGTAGCAGCTCCTCTTTGTTCCTCTGGTAGAATTCGGGTGTGACTCCATCTGGTCCTGGGCTGTTTTTGGTTGGCAGGCTATTAATTACTGCCTTAATTTCAGAACTTGTTATTGGTCTGTTCAGGGATTTGACTTCTTCCTGGTTTAGTCTTGGGAGGGTGTATGTGTCCAGGAATTTATCCATGTCTTCTAGATTTTCTAGTTTATTTGAATAGAGGTGTTTATTTTCTGATGGTAGCTTGTATTTCTGTGGGATCAGTGTGATATCCCCTTTATCATTTTTTATTGTGTCTATTTGATTCTTCTCTCTTCTTTATTAGTTGGGTTAGTGGTCTTTCTATTTAGTTAATCTTTTCAAAAAACCAGCTCCTGGATTCATTGATTTTTTTGAAGGGTTTTTCCTGTCTCTATCTCCTTCAGTTCTGCTCTGATCTTAGTTATTTCTTGTCTTCTGCTAGCTTTTCAATTTGTTTACTCTTGCTTCTCTAGTTCTTTTAATTGTTATGTTAGGGTGTCAATTTTAGATTTTTACCACTTTCTCCTGTGGGCATGTAGTGCTATAAATTTCCCTCTAAACATTGCTTTAGCTGTGTCCCAGAGATTCTGTTACATTGTGTCTTTGTTCTCATTGGTTTCAAAAAACTTATTTATTTCTGCCTTAATTTCATTATTTTCCCAGTAGTCATTTAGGAGCAGGTTGTTCAGTTTCCATGTCGTTGTGAGGTTTCGAGGGAGTTTCTTAATCCTGAGTTCTCATTTGATTGCACTGTGGCCTAAGAGACTTATGATATCCGTTCCTTTGGATATGAACAGACACTTCTCAAAAGAAGACATTTATGCAGCAACAAACATATGAGAAACAGATCGCCATCACTGGTCATTAGAGAAATGCAAATCAAAACCACATTGAGATACCATCTTATGCCAATTACAGTGATGATTATTAAAATGTTAGGAAACAACAGATGCTGGAGAGGATGTAGAGAAATAGGAACGCTTTTACACTGTTGGTGGGAGTGTAAATTAGTTCAACCATTGTGGAAGACAGTGTGGTGATTCTTCAAGGATCTAAAACCAGAAATACCATTTGACCCAGCAATCCCATTACTGGGTATATACCCAAAGGATTATAAATCATTCTACTATAAAGATACATGCACGCGTATGTTTATTGCAACACTGTTCACAATAGCAAAAGCAAAGACTTGGAACCAACCCAAATGCCCATCAATGATAGACTGAATAAAGGAAATGTGGCACATATACACCATGGAATAGTATGCAGCCATAAAAGAAGATGTGTTCATGTCCTTTGCAGGGACATGGATGAAGCTGGAAACCATTATTCTCAGCAAATTAACACAAGAACA